CTAGCCCATTATACTGGTATCCTGGAGATTAAAGTATGTATTCGGCCAATTTAAACTCTTCATAAGCAGACTGATGGTGAATTTTTTTGGTCTTCAACTAAGCTATCTACCCTAGGAAGTAATGCCTATTGATTCCGTAGTAAGTATGCTTTAAGTTTATACTGAATAGGGTTCCTGCTATGGATTTTCTCTCTCTCATGAGATGAACAAACTGAAGTAAAACCCCAGTGATGAGTATGGAAACAAGTCACAGGTGCAAGGCGGTGATAAAATGAATTTGCATTTGAAATATGAGCCCTGTCAGTATTTCCTATTATATGAGATCAACATTTATGATAGATATGAGTAGTGTGTCTCAGATCTGAGGTCATCTTAGATTTGATTTGTTGGACTATAGAATGGTCTTAACAATTATCATCTGTTATAACATCTATTCGTTTACTAACCTTTGATAAGCTGTTATAAATGAAATTCTAATATGGCTGCAATATGTTTATGGTGAAGGAACATGCCTTACCAAAACTTCAATTTCTGCATGTGACAAAAGGTGAAGGACATTGTTCCTTAGTGGCTTGGTACAAAATGAACTTTGCTGTTGAAGAACTTCAGGAGATCTTTTTTGGGCATTGGCTGTCACTTTAACGTTCAGCAATTAAAACTGATTTTAAAAGTTTGCTGTGCTACTGTTATGACTGAAGGTCACAGATTTATTAAATTGTTCTTCATTTGAAACTTGAAGTGTTCTTTTGGTTGAAAATCTAGATAACTTCCATGAACAAAGGCTGGAATTACCAGTATTGAATCTTTACGAATAATATTGACTATGCAGCATTTTTATTACTTTTGCATGTGTTCAGTGCTTGGTGTTTAAAGGTAAGTATATGAATGGCTAGGTCGCCTTAGAAGAAATTGGTAAATCATTACCCAGACATTGCACACATAAAGCTGTTCGTGGTGTTTGTTCCCTGAAGATTACATGACATAAAGGGGAATGTTGCTGAAGAATGTCTTAATGTTGCAAACTTGAGTAATGATGCTGAAAATGTGATGTCAACCTACTACTGGATTGTTGTGCTTAAAGGGATCATATTTGGAAAAAAGCTACGTAGTTTTTGTGTCATGATGGGGTAGGAAAAGCCCAAATATTTTAAGTCAATGTGAAGTAAAAATGTGATTTTTAAAAAAAAACTAGTTTTCAGGTTAGTGGCTGGTTATGCTATGGCAGTGATCTGCTGTGCTTAAGATGGCATATTTATTGTTAAATTTCAAAAATTTATATATTGCATATTCAATACTGTATCACTACTGCCATTGACTATGTAACCTGTCAAAATCTTTTACAGACTATGTGTCCTGTCTGTTTGGACCGTCTGAAGAATATGATCTTTCTCTGCGGCCATGGAACATGTCAACTTTGTGGAGACCGAATGAGTGAATGCCCTATATGCCGCAAAGCAATTGAACGAAGGATCCTTTTGTATTAAGTAGTGGAACCAGTGTCTTTTATTAGCTTATGAAATAGTAAGGACATTTTGATGATTTAAATCTCCGTCAGTTTGAAAGGCAGTAAAGGGTTCTAATGAAAACATTTCTAATACTGTAGCACAGGTTCATTACATGGTAATTGTTTAAAGACTGTGAACACACCAAATAGGAGAACAGTATTTGAACAGTCAGCTTTTAGCTTTACTCTTAAAAACTATCTAAGCCGGAAGCTAATTTAAAGCAGTCTTTTTTTCATTTTCTTTCTGTTGTCTTCTTTCCCTTAAAGTTTAAAGGGACAATCTTACTTTGATTTCGTTCATGTTTTTTATTGTATGTATCGGGTGTCAAGTGATGTAAGGGGTTTTTTTATATTGTCAGTTAATAGCAAATATAAATATTTAGGATTTTTTTTGTTTCATGCATTTCTGGAGAATGTTGAAATTTCCTGTGACAGTTATGATTCACAATAATTTCTGTCTTGAAATATGCAATAATGCAAAATCAATACAAAGTGTATACACAGTAGTAATAAATATACTATTCCCATAATATCAGGCCTCAAAATACAATGTTAAGGTAATTCTAACTTTATCATGCCCTTCGTTGCTGAGGATGGGTTGGGAAGTAAAAAGAAAAATCTAGTTTAGAAACATTATGTTCCCAAAACTGCACTTCAGTCTAACAGGTTCAAGCTAATTTAAATAGTGAACAACTTAATTCTGCTAGCCACATAATTTTGTATGGAATTGCTTTTAACTTGACTGGAAAGGAAAACATTCAAGCAATGGGTCAGTTATCCATTTCATATGAGTGAGTTTGATCAGTTGTAGATGAACATATATATATGTGCGGCCATTTGAAAATTCTGGGTCTATGAATTAGGAAAAACGAGAGATTTTGCAAGATTTCCTCTCTTAAATTAGTTTTATTGTCTTCAGGCAAACAGTGTCAACAGCAAAAGAGAAGATTTAATATTGCTTGTTCATCTAAGTTGGGTATTAACACCAGAACTTACCTGTGAACATTACTAGGTAATACTGCAAATGAAGATATTGCTTACAGAGCAGTGAATTTTGTGAGCCATGCCTAGGTGAGCTGAAGTTGGCTGAAGGAGTTAGCTGTCACTGATGTCACAAAGATGTGTTCCTGACCCCCAAAATGCTGCTGTCAGGAACTGCAAACTGTTAACATTTTGATAGCAAGTACATCCTTCCATCTTTTTGGATGGAAAAAAGTATGCTGATTTAAGGATCTCTTCTACCTAAAAGGAATGTGTGTTTACTCCTAAGTGATTCGGCAGTTTTCCAAGTGCATAGTTTATGTAGTCCTTTGCCATTGCTCATTTGCCAGACCTCATTTGGATGTGCTCTTGCAGAACAATAAAGAAATCCATGCTGGAGTTACTTAGGTGCCTTACTTGCAGCTAAGATTAATTTCTCATTTGATTCTCATTGCGTATGTCAAAAATGTGGAAAAAGGGGTAGTTCAGGGGAAGATCCAAGTAAGGATAAAGGCATAAAACTGTGATCTCTTCAGATAGATTTATCTCAGTCTTTTGAAGCTTATGTTGATATGCCTGAATTGTGCAAGCATTGGCAAAAGTCTCCGAAGAATGTTACTAGTAAACTGTAAAGATAGGTGAACTTTTAACCAGTGAGGTTCAAACTAGAGTTTTCCAGGAAACAACTACAGTGATATATTGGAAAAAGGTATGCAGAGCGGCTTTGAACATAGCAAAGTGATGTAATACACAGCCTTTCTATAGCCACTTTTAATCCTGATCCAGAATTGCAAATGTTCATCATTCTTTTCAGTAATTTGTCATTGGACGCAATCTCAATCTGGAGTCAATATAGCAGTCTTGTTTTATTTTGTATACTAGTAGTCATCTGTTCTCAGATAATCTGTGTATCTGTCATCTTGGCCAAATGAAATAGCCCTCCCTTTTCTTGCTTCTTGGGTCCCTATTCTAAATATCAGAATTTCAAGGAGCTTTGGAAAGTTTTTGATACAAGGGTGTTTTTCAGTTCAGCATTTCACTATCTCCACTTAAGCTCTGAGCGCACCTGAGTGTTCACTGCAATTTTCATTTGGCCAATATGCATGTCACTAAGTCGGGACTTTTTGTACCGTATTTGACAGCTGAACTTTTTATAGTAGGCTTCAGTTTCCTGACAGTCTTCCTTTAGAAATAATTTTATAATAGGATGTGCCATTTGACAATCCATTCTGAATTTTAGCCTGTAGTGCATCAGATCTGTACCTCGGTTTCCTCTGGCTCTGGTAGGCATATTTTGAATACTGTGTCCTATTTATTCTTCAAGGGGATGTCTATAAACTGTTGTCAGTACAAAGGCAGGGTGGATTTCTTCTTGATAATGCAGCTCAAAACTGAAACCTCAATGTAGCAGTTGGCATATTCCTAATTCTTTTTCACTGGAAAAAGCCAGAATTACTTGAAAGTATTCCAACTTATCGTCAATTGAATAATTCAGCTGAGTAAGAACTTACCTAAAGCATCCTGGGTGGGAAACTGGAGCTGAATGTTAAATACTCCTTGTCTGCGGGAGGCACATATTGTGGCATAGATAGGGAGGTCCTCTGTTAGGCTTGTACTTTTCAACAGAGAAGTGTAAGTGACTTTATAACACTCTTAATACTTGGATGCCATCACAGTCCTATGGAAATAGAGACAATGACCGAAGGTATTGCTATAGGAGCAGCTGTAGTCTTCTACACTGTAGTCAAAACAGATGTATGTGCATACAAGTTTGTGATTGGACTCATTTGGCAATGTTGTGTGCCAGTTGAAATTAAAGTGTGTCAACTTGATGCTATTATGGTGCCATGAGAAACAGCTGAATTAGAAAAACTAAGTAAGCTAACAAACATGCTTGAATTATTAATATAGGCCTCTTACTAACAAGTGGAAGAGCTGTATCTTGTATTTGGAAGGCTACACAGTGCTTGCCTTTCAAAAAACTTAATGAAGAAAAATGTTTGCAAATCCAGTATCATTTATGGAAATAGGTATTTAGATTCACACACTGTCTTTGGATTCTGATGTAGAAGGTGAACTAGTGGTGTTGAGGAAGCTAGTAAGTTTATTCACTCACTTCAGTCTGGTATCATCTGTGCAACGTGCACAGAGTGCAAGTGTTTAATTGGGTAATGCTTAAATAATCGAAGGATGAAAAACAGAAGCTCAGTTGGAAGCCAAAGGAGATCATAACAGGTAGGAGAGTTGAGGATATGTCATTGTGTCTCTGTCTTCAGCAAAAGATGAATGTGTAAATCTCATTATTATTATTATCATCACTACTATTAGGAAGCAAAGTGAAAATGAGAGAACAAGCAGTAAGGTATTTATCTCTAATGTACTGTAAAATCGTAAAATGTAAGAGTTGCAAGCTTTGTTTATTATGATTATCCCCCAGTATTTAATAACAGTTTTGAAATTAAATTGAATGAAATATCTCAGTTTGTTTCTTGAAACAATCAAGAAGACACCAGATGTTTAAGTAAAATACTTTTCATTTTTTTCCATTCAGTAAAATACATAAACAGTCACATTAGTACACTGTGATTTAAAGTTTAAAGACAACCTAAGAGGCTAACAGAATATGCTGAATAGTTGTAGCTTGTTAACTTCTGTATAACTATGTTTGACTTTTTTCCCCAAACCTACTGTCTATCACTTACTATACCCCAAGCTCATATGGCACTTCTCAGAATTTGGGCTATTACTACCTACTTTTCATTTGTTGAAATACTGTGTACTTGTATGTTGGGGTTTGGAGGAGTCCCTTTTTGCTGAAGTGGATGCTGAAAATTACACTAGCAAGAGAATAAACAAGTTACTTTGTAAATGTGAAAGTTTGATTAGGAGGTGGTGTTCTTAACTTGGACTGGGTGAGGATATAGCAGATTTGCACAAGTACTTGTGCCTTGTTAGCATAGTCTTACAATTGGTATTTTAGCTTATTTTAAAGACGTGAGATGGTCTTTTAAAAATAATATGATTTAAGTACTTACTGTGTAGATATTTTCTAGAGATGAAGTTTTATGTATGCCTAATTATTTTTAGCAGTATTAATTGCAGTTTGTGTAAACACTAAATTGTTTGAAGAAGCTGCTTTGAACTAGTGATCTAAGCTTCCTCCACAAAATCAAATGTCAGAAACTTAATTTTAATCTTCCAGTAGCAGCTGGTGAACCGAAGAGCCTATCCTATTCTTTGTGCTGCATGGGTCAAGTTATCACTTAAAAAAACCCAACAACACTACAGCCTAACTTTTAGCAGTGCTACCTCCTTTCTGTCAAAGTACTGAATTCTTCTCTAGTTGTTCTTTTTCTTTGGGAAGGGATGGGGAACACAGCAGTTTTGTTTTGCTTCATCGGTTTTGATGTCTGAATACATTGCAAAGGTTTTTTACTGACTGTATAAATTACGTACAATAGAAGTGTGTGATTTGCTACAATGTACATTGTATATCATTCTTGCATAAGTTTCTGGAATTCGTACTATTGTCTTTTTATGCATTTCATAACTTGTTTGTGTTGACAAAGCAAAACTGTTTTCTGCAGAAGTTTTAGGATGTGCCATTTTTATAGCTAAGCCTGTGGTAAATACGAAAGTTCTGACTCAGGGCTTTTTAACAACTTAAACATGTTCACAATATTCTTCAGCACATCTTGGAGAATATTAGAGATTTAATGACTGTGCAGTGCCTTGATAGAACTGTTGAATGGGCAGCAGCCATAGAGTCCTTACAGAATGCAAGTATCTTTTGAATCCAGTTAATGCGTTGATGTTAATATAATTGTAATACCCTGCCATGGATTTATAAACTTGTATATACTTTCTGTAAAGGAAAATCGGCAAATTTAGGTATTGTTAAGCTTTCTGAAAGTTGTTTGTTGCACCAGTCATGGGGATCTGAAGGGCATAGTATTCAAATTTACAGAAGCAGCATTTGTGGCTAAGGCAGCTGATAAAATGTTCTGTACGTGACTTTTTTAGTGTGAGGGGAGAGGTCATTGTATAAACAAATGTGTAAAAATACCCACTTTACTCTGGCCCAGTAAGTCTTTTATAAGAGAGAGAGAAATAATAGGCAACAAATCTGTATGTTTGCATGCCATTTCATAGTTACAAGAATTTAAGCCTCATTTTGAGCTTCTAGGAAATACTTTTTGTCCCAAGCTTAGTGTCTTTATGAATGCAAACTATTCATATTAGAAAACTTGGTTTTACTGAACCACAGGAACGTTTTTGCTTTTGCTAAAACCAACTTTGT